AAAAAAAATGTAGCTACATCTTTTAAAGCCTCTGTCACGAGGATGGTCAGCCACTCAACATGGTGCAATGCCGCTTACTGGCTTGCAGACCGAACACGCTCAGCACATGAGGTGGCTTGTGCGTGAGAGTTCTGACGCCTTCCAGGATGTATCATGTCTTGGTGATACTCCGATGTAGAACTCAACCCAGAGCTTAGCAAGTGCATTGCGGTACCCCTTACAATGAAATAGTTAGGGTCTGATGCAGAAGCCTGGGGAAACAGCCCCACGTGAAAACTCTGACGCCCTCTTATGTAAAATTGCAGTATTGAACTTGTTGTTGGAATACAAGGAAATTCTAAGCTTCAAGAAGCAAAATTCTATAAAGTTCAATAGATTTGACCACATGAGAACTTAAAACTTCTACATGTAAAACTAGTATTATTTTTAAAAGTAGGCAAAAGTTAATCATTTTCCCCTTTAAAAAATTTAAAATGCACTTTAAAAAAGACCTAAAAAACAATGGGTAAGGAATAAAAAGTATTGGCAGTTCAGAAAGAGGTAAAAAGCTAATAACCATTTTAGAAAATGTTTCATCTCATTACAAACCAAAGAAATGTGGAAATATTAAGGCGTTTTCATTTACAAAGATAGACATGTTTTAAGAAACATTTCAGAGGTAGCATTAACCTAGTAAAGTTTTCTGTCACCAATATGTGCTAGGGAAGCACATATTAAAAATAGAACAATAATTATAAAATATAACCTTATGTCATCGTCCTTGAGTTTTAAAAATATTTTTTTCCCTTAAACACTACTTCATCAAAGGAATAGCATTCTCACCAATTCCTGTTTAATCTAGAAGGGCTGTCTTCGCCTTATAAATTTGTTTCCCCTTCACCCACTGCTCAGTACTCCTGACGGGGACATGTGGTGACTTCCCTCCAGTCGGTTCCTGACTCTGGTGGACAGCGACTGGGTCCTGGACTTAATGAATGCAACACTGTGTGCCTAGGGCTAGTTCAGGCCCCACGGTCTGGGACTTTGTCCCACAAGCCTGCTGCCCCACTGCAGATGCCAGCTGCAAATTCAGGTTTGTGCCCTGCGGGGTCAGTCAGGGTCCCAGGACCACCCCTTAGGTTCAGTGCACTAGAGTGGTTCACAGCACTCAGAGACTCTCTTGTGTGTTTTAACCTGATTATACCATTTCAAATGTATTGTTTTGCTGCTGCCTTGGCTTTGATTTTTTGGTGCGTGTTGGTGATACACAAGAACTCACTTCATTTTGGTGTATTGCCCATGCATAGCATTTGCTGCATTAATTTCATCCCCGTTACCTGCCTTTCTCCTTACTCCCCCACCTCCTGTCCTTTCCCCATCTCTGACATCTCCCTTCATGTTTTCAGAGAAACTCTTTTCTTCCATTTACCCATTTTAAGGTTACCTGCTGAGCACTCTGTCTTACATCTAGCCAGTCATGCCTATAATCCCAGCACTGGAGGCTGAGGCAGGAGGATTGTTGCGAGTTCAAGACCAGCCTGTGCTACAAAGTGAGCTTAAAGCCAGCCTGAGCCGCATAGTGAGACCCTGTCTCAAAAAGACAAAAGAAAAAGTCCAAACTTTGCAGTACTCCAGAATCTGAAATTTACTGAGCATCCTGGAGGTGATCAGAAAGTCTCCAGGTTCTAGGTACTGCATAAGAGTATATTAATTTGTAGCCTATGCACACAGTAAAATCCAAAAACCTCCAAAATCCAAAGCATTTCAGATAAGAGATAGTGAACCTGTGTTACTTAGGATACACATGAATGGTGAGCAGAGGGTGAAGCTGGGGGAAGAGTAGGGTTCCCTCCTCTCCTTGCACTGCCAGCCCAGCTCTCTGGGTGCTGTCCATACCCAGTCCTTTTGGGGCTCTGTGAGGTTCATTACTTCAGCCTGATGGCGTCCCTGGCCCTTGGGGATCACCGCCACTTTTTGTTGCCTCTGCAGAGGTTGGCTGGTGAGGTAGAGGTCCCAGCCTCATTCTTGTGTCTTAGTCTCTGTGTCAGTCGGCCTCTCTGACGTACCTAGGACTCATCTCAAGGAGTGACACTGTCATCTGGAGAGTCTCCAGGGCTGGAGAGCTGTGTGCCAGGAGCCAGGGGCAGAAATCAAATACATACGCTTATTGTGTCACAGCACCCCAAATTCTTAGGGTCAGTCTTGTCTCCTGCTTAACTGCTGCTTTGTTTAGAACTTTAAATTCCAAGACAGAATTGAAATAGCATTTAGAGGTATGTTTATAGTGTTACAGAATTTTTTTAAAAAGATGATTAACATCCAAATATAAAAACCTAAGAGTTGAACATAAAACCTGAAGAGAAAGGAATATGGAAAACATCTGCTAAGACATGATAGTAGAGGATATATAAACACAGACATGTCACACAGCAGTGCTTTCCTTTCCTACGTGCTCGGCATGATGCACTTGCTCTTCTTTACTCTTCCTTTTCTGAGTGCTGCTTGCAGCTTTCTGGCAGGTCTTAATCCCCATTTTGAGGAGCAGACTTAAACCTTAGGAAGACAAGGCGGTAGAGTCGACCCTCCCCCTTAGGATGGAGAGGTGCATGTGCTGAGTGCCGTAAGTGCGCAGAGAGTGCTGGAGGAGTCAGCCTGCCTGGCCGACAATTCGTGCCGCTGGATCTTCACTAGATGGGGAGGGCATGCAGGGGACTTGCCTAACTGCCCCCCTGCTCTGCAGCTCAGGAGACAGCTAGCTCAGGAGAAGCACTTCAGGGAGTCTCTTGAAAAATCGGGATCAGCTATGCTCCTCAAAATACAAGAAATGGGATCCACGGTGGAGGTGGAACGGAAACAGGTAGAATTCCTTTCCTTATTTATGTTAGAGAAGTGAAATCAAAGATGAAAAGTGAGATTTTAGCTTTAAGCTTAGAATTTTGCTAATTCTCTAAGTACTTTTCTATAGCAACCTATTAACATTCTTATTACAAATTTTTTTTTCTTCTGGTACTGGGGATCAATCTCAGGACCTCGTGCTTGCCAGGCAGACACTTAGGCTACTGAATTATCTCCCCGGCCCTTGTTACAATTTTTAAAAGTTTAATGCAATATAACAAGGGACTGGCTCTACTCCACTGTTGCTGATTCCAGAACTCTGCATTTTTCAACAAGACAGTGGAGGACCAGAGCAGGGTGTGTCTGCTGTGCGTGTATCACCTGAACTAACACTTGGGGCAAAGAATAGTAATAAGCAAAGCCATCAGGAATATATTTATACAGCAAACTTCAATTATCTAAGTTAGTTAAAATTAAATAAAACTACAGATTCAGCTCCTCGGTGGCATCCCTCATGCCACACCTCGTGGCATCACCGAGCGGCCGGGAACTGTTGTGCTCAAGCAGCACCCTGCTGCAGTCTACTGCCTTCTGCTGGGGTTTTATGGTATGGTTTGGGAAGTCTTTAAGGCCACTTACTACAAATCTTACTTTACAGAAAAGGAGTGTTTCTTACCTGATTTCAGGTGCACATTTTGCAGCAGAACTGCCTGGCCTTGCGCAGTTCTATACAGACCACGCAAGAACTACTGGCACAGGAGCAACAGAAAAAAGGGGAGCTGGAGACTGCAGCCTCACAGCTCAAGGCTGACCTGAGTAAGCACAGCAGCTGGAAATCGCACTGCTGCCAGGGCCCAGCATTTGCACAGAGCTCTTGAGGGCCCAGGTTCTTGAGGAAGCCGGGGCTCTTGGTGTTTCCCAGTCCTGCATGTAGAAAATAGCTGATTTTCATTCTGACTCTAATCCTGAAACAAAAGTGAATGTTGGTATGAAAAACACCCTCTTAATTGTAGACTATTTGAGCCCCTCTTCTCATTGAAGTGTGAATGTGGAACATTTGATTTCTAGACATTTAGATTGAATGTTAAGGATACTAAGAGAATAAACCTATTAACTCTTGTTAACTTAATTCTATTATCATGTCAGACTGTCCCCTCCTCAGATCATCAGTATATTTTGGTTAACTTATATTTGTGAAGATGGTGGGTATAAAGGACCTGAAATGAGAGTGTAGACTCATCCCCGCGCATCATTGCCTGGTAGGTCCTAGAGGTGACAGCAAGTTAAGAGACAGGATCACATCTGGGTGTTCAGAGTGGAGCTGCTCCTAGCCCATCCGTACTTTATCTCACTACTTCTTTAATGTCTTTGAAAGCAGTTTTAAAGTGGTTTCAACTACAAATTACAGGGTTATATAATTAGCCCTGCATGATTAGCCCTGCATGATTTACTTAAATTATTGAATACTCAAAGCTCCCTCGCCAAGCAGAGAGGTACAGGAAGAAAACATGGCAAAGTAAAGCCTAAGCCTGGCTCTCTGGCTCCAAGCCTAGTGTTTGCTTCACCGTCTCCACTCTGGGACCATGATGGGCAGGGAATACCAGGAAGGAAATTCAAAGACTGTAACAAAATAGAGGGAAAAGCGTGACCTGCCCAGTCACACTTTAGACTCTTTTAACACAACGTAGTGGACTCTTTCCTTATAGTTATTGGGTAGTGAATTACTTTTGCAATTCTCACTGACAGCATCCCAAGGTAACTTTCTGTCATTTTCTGATGAGGCTACAAAAGTGTGTTACGTTTTATGACACTTCCACATGATCTCCCTTGAGCTCTACAACAGCTTGGCAGGGAGCTAAGAAAATATGCTCACTGTACAGAAGAATACAAACATCCAGATGGGCTGTGCCCAGTGGCCTGTCTGAGTTACTATTCTTGTTGCTAAGACAAAATACCCAACACCAACATGAAAGGAGAAAAGGTTTACTGTAGCTCACAGTCGTTAGAGGTTTTGTTCACAGCTGGCCGGCTCCAAGGCAGTGTGGCACAGCAGGGGAGAAGTAGACTGTGGTGGGCGGAAGGCAGCAAAGCAGCAGCAGCAGCAGCAGCAGCAGCAGCGGCGGCGGCGGCGGCGGCGGTGACAGGAGCGCTTTCTGTCCCCGATAGTCTAGCAGGCTGCACGCCCTTCGGGCAGGTAGCACTCGCACCCGGGCAGGGCTCCCCGTTATCCACGCCCAGAGCTCTGCCAAAGCGGTCAGTGGACTGACTTGTAACCACACACCTGATCCCAGAGTCACACACTCTCGACCCAACGACCTCTGAAAAGCTCCCTGTGACCACAGGAGGCCTTAGGGGACATCTGGACACGGCCATAGCAGGCCCACAACAAGCGGAGTAGCTGGCTCTACCACACGTCTTTCTATTGTGTTAGTGGGCTCCCTGTCAAGTGAGTTTTTCATGTTACTTTCTCCTGGGATTAATGCTTTATGTTTCAATTTTGTAAAGAACATGTGGGAGCCATTAAAGAGTAAAGATTAAAACCCCAGTCATTCAGCCTAACACGGGATAAAGAAGGGCTGAATACTAGCTTGTGCTTAACAGTGAATTACAGACTTTTCGTATATATGCAGTTTTATTATTTTATAGTCATTCTAGATTAACAAAAGGAATGCTTTTTAAATAGTTTCTTTGATTAATTTAAAAATCAGTTTTTAAGTATAGTAGCAATAAATATCTATATACATATGTATTAAAGTGATTAAATTGCTTTTTCAGCATAAATATTCCTGTTTATCACTTGAATTAGAATTTTTGGAACAAGTTCTACAGTTTTTCTTTTTGATCCTTTAAATTAGAGTTTAATGAGTCATAGATTCATATGTTCAAAAACTATGATTTTTATAATCAGTGTTTTATATAAGATGTGATTTTTTTTTATTTGGGGAGCTTTAGGATTTCATTGAAACAAAACTAACAGATCTCTGCATTTTTCTGTAAAGCCAAAGCATTACTTTTAGAAAGCCCACACCTTTTGGCTACTGGTGCACAATGCCAAATTGCTCCTCAGCTTTCTGTCTTTAACATTCTCTAGGTGGTTTGGGAGCCCCTACCCACCCACCCCCAGCCCTCTGCACTAAGAGTAGTGTTCACAGCTGGGACAGCACCTGCATTCGGCTGCCCTGCAGATGTATCAGAACACATGGAAAATTAAGTGTTTGCTAGGACTCACTCTGACTGCAGACCTGCTCCTGCCCTGTATTTCTTCTGCACTAGAGGAGTCTGCCATCACCCTACACCCATGCCTGAATTCTAGGTGTCCTCCCAAACCCTCCTGTGACTACCTGGAGCTGCTGTGTTCTCTCCCTCAGTGCTGCCTTGGTCTGTTCCTCCTCTGTGTCCCCACCATCCTTGTCCATGGCAGTCTGTGTCCCCACACTGTTTCCCATTAATTTCCTTACCTTTATTGTTAGAAGGTCCCTGAAACACATCATCTTAACTCTCAGTAAAATGTGACCTCGTGTGTCATTGCAAGTGACTGTGAACTAGTTTCTTTGATAATTCTATAATTTAGTTGCCAGTCTATAAAAATATGATAAAAATATTTAGGCTAAGCCAGTTTTGGTGGTGCATATGCTTTGGACGCTGAAGCAGGATTGTCATGAGTTCAAGGCCGCCCTGGGCTACATAGTTCAGGCCAGCCTGAACTACATGGTGAGACCCTGTCTAAAAACCTAAAAATAAGACCAGTGATTTAATTCAGTGGCACAGTGCCTTGCTTGGCAAGCCTGAGGTCCTGAGTTTCATTCCTGGTACTCCCAAAATTTTTTTAAGTAGGCTTTTCATCTATAAGAATATTTAGGTTCATTTTATTCCCCTCTAAAATTCCATGTTACTTCATATAGTAAATTGTTTTTGTCATAGTTATGTGGACCTTTTGTTTTTAGTTTCTAGAGATGACCTCATTTCCAAGTTGCTTGAAGAAAACAAGGTAAATTTTCCAGTTCCAGAGACAGAGTTGGTCTTTCCTCTCTCAAGTCTCATTTTCTCATTCATGTTGGTTTATAATCCTTGTGATTCTCCCAATAACTTTAGAAAAAAGTTGTGTGTGAATAACTCCTGCATTCAGGCTAATACTAGGTATTAAAAACTAATCATTTCATGTAGGTTATTGTAATTTGAAAAGGTGAGTTAGAAAAACTGAGACATTTGTGTTTTGTCAATTGTAAACTAATTGTTAAACAAAGCATTTCCGATGACATGTAAGACACAGAGCTGCAGATGGGTGGAGATGCAATAGTGTTGGGAATATATTTCATGTCACCGAACCGCACCCTTAAAATAGGGTGAGGGCCAGGGATGTGGCTCAGCAGCACGAGCTGCCGCTGCTCAGCAGGACCTGGCGAGTGCAAGGTCCCGAGCTGAACTCCCATACCAAAAAGGGAAGAAAAGCTTAGGATGGTAAGCTTTGTGTTTATCTTACTGTAATTTAAGAAATGAGCAGGGCGTGGGCACACACCTATAATCTAATCACCTGCATAGCCGAAATGAGTTTGAGCCCAGCCTGGGTGACTTTGTAAGTTATTGAAACCCTGTCCCAAAACCTTCAAAATTACCAAAGGGCTAGGAAGGCAGCTAGTGCGAAGACCCTGCGTTCCAACCCCACTGCTGCCAACAATCTTACACGTCTGTAGAACTGCTTTTATATCTCAGTGCATCTTACAGTTAATCCCTGACGTGATGGTCCCAGTTACAGTAATCTTCCTGGGTGCTGTCTCATCCTGTGTGCTGTGATGTTTATCTTCCTTGAGACGCATCTCCTGGGAAGACACCAAAGTGGCTTTCCTGTGTCCTGTGGAGGTGGAGAATTTACACTGATGTGCCCACTGTCCTGTTAGAAAGCCCAGCCCATGGTCCCGTCACTTTTACTACCTCCAAGAACTGGTTTGGTTTGGGTTTTCCCTGCAGGCCAGAGATGCTGTCCTCAGCTCCACCTCAGGTACCCTGTCTTCATTTGGACTTTAAAAGATCTGTGTCTCTGTTCATTTAAGACTGCAAGATCTTACTGCTGACAGGAAAACATGTATATGTAATATAAGTGTTTGCCTTAGAGAGTAGAAGTTCCAAGAGAAAGACACTGGTAAAACTTTAGGCTATAGTTCAGGCAAATCCTTTCTCACTGGGAACCCAATATAAGAACAGATTGAACAGAGTTTTTAATAAGCCATATTCTTAGAGCAGTGTTAGATTCAGAGAGAAAGTAAGCAGAAGGCACGCGGATTTCCTTTGCGAGTCCTGCCACTGCACGTGTGGTCTTCCCCCCGCTCAGCACCCCAGCATGGGAATCGCTATGGTGAGCCCACAGGACGAGCCTTCTGCTCCTAGCCCACCCTATGAGGCCTCACTTGGCGCACCCAAGGCTGCGCAGACCCATAGTTACTGCAGTAGCTTCATACTCAGTGCTTTCCCACCTTTGTCCTCACTGTTGTCCTTCCCCCACCCTAAGCCCCTGGCAGTACTGGTACTTCTGCCTTCTGCTTAGGTTTGTCCGCCTCGGAACAGCATGTGGTTGGAACCACACAGTGTGTGTAGCCCTTTTAGACTGGCTGTTTTCAGTTCAGGAGATTGTCATAGCCTGGTAGCCACTCCTCTTCTGTGCTGAGAAATATTCCATTGTTTGGCTGTTCTGTGGTGTGTCTCTTAGTTTCCTGAAGGACATCTCAATTGCTTTCAAGTTTTGGCAGTTATGATTAAGCTGCTACAAATTTCTATGGAAAAATTTTTGTTGGAGATAAGTTTTCAGTTCCTTTGGGCAAATGCCAGAGAGCATGATTATGGTATTAATAGTTTTAGTTCTGTTAGAAATTGCCCAGCATATCACCTAAGCATTGCTATCGTTTTGCAGTCCTACCTGCAGGAATGAGAGCACAAGCTCACAGCAGGTTGGTGTGGCCAGCATGCAGCGCTGTGGACATCCTTACAGGCGCACCGAATGGCATCTTGTTTTCTATAAGTAATTTAGAAATAAAGAGAAGTTTCGGTATTGAAGATAGTAAGATTCTTTACAATTTCTTAGAAGCTGAACATCTGTATGTCATTAGAAGTTGAACTGGTGTCAGCGAGAATACAAATAAAGTATTTTATGGAGATGCATATGATACACATGTAAAAAAGAGTAATTATTTTTTCCTCCTAGAATATGCAAGTGTCTTTCAACAAGCAACATAAAGAAAATGCATACTTGAGGTCTGAAATATTAAACCTTCACCAAGCATTAGAAAAAGCTCAGGTAAATCTTTAGCATTTTTCTGGCTTTTAGATTTACTTTTGTTTAAAGAATCGAAACTAATCCTGATACTACAAACTCATGCCATCCCTATCATCCAGCTTTTCATTTCCATAAGATCTAAACCGTTATCCTGCAATGCTGGTTTGGTGGTCATGAGGGTCTTTATTGTTATCATGGAAGATTTTTATTTCTCCAGAAATTTTGAAAGAGAACTTCACAGGATATGTTGCTCTGAATTGGTAACATTTTCTTTTAAGGCATGAAAAACTCAAAAGTTCTCCTGGCCTTTGGGGTTTGTGTTGAAAAATCCACACTTACTCTGATTGGTTTGCCCTTATACATAATCTGTTGCTTGTTTCTGACAGCTTTTTAAAAAATATTTTATTTTGGAGAGTAAAACCAAAAGCACAACAAATGGCCAAAACAGAAACATTTAGTAATTGTCTTTTTCTGAGTTCCTGAGATTTTCACGGGGCTGCCTTGTGGAGAGGTCTTTTCCTGGCCGCCCATTTGGGTTTCCAAATCCTCCTTTAGCTGGATCTCCTTATTCCCTGGGCTTGGATGTTTTAGTGCCATGATAGCCAACAATAAATGTTTTACGCCACGAGTTTGGGCCTCTCCTTATCAATTCCAGCATCCTTAGGTGTGCGCTTTTAGCATCAGCCAGGAGCTCTTCATGTTGAGTGTCTCTTGCTTTTCCATTACTACTGAGTAAAAAGTGTACTTCATTAACCTCGTGCTTGGGGCCTGATGTATTGTTTGACTGATCTTATCCACTGCCAAGGCTTTGAATTGAGATTTTCTCTTCTAAGGTTTCAGCTCAATTCCTTTTCATAGCTTTACTGATTTGACTCCTCCTGTCTTGCATTGTCTTCCTTAATCATTCAGCTACTTACACACATCTTCTTTAAGCTCATTGAGGCCGGCCAAATAGCTCAGCGGATTCATGTGCCTGCAAGCTGGTGCAGGGGCCAAGGCTTGGAGGCTCCATCCCCCAACCTGCCGTGCC